ACGGTTCCATCTCAGTGACGGCACCAGCAGCAACAGAGGGCAACTTCCGGAGAGTTGCCAGGACTTTAGGACCAAGGTCCTAAAGACCAGGAGCTGCAGTTCTGGGGACAGGGCATCCTGGCTTCCTAGGCTTGTAGAAGAACACTAAAGCTTGTCACTGTGGGGCTAAGGACCCCAGCATCAAAGGCCCGCATGAGATCTGTAACAGTAGAGGGCGCCACCTAGTCTGCTCAGGGCTGTCTGCTAGCCCTGTGCCCTGCTGCTAGGAGCTGAAAGACACAAAAGCTGCCAGTGACCAGCACTGGAAGAGTTCTGGCTTGTTGCCCACGATTCCTTTTTAAAAATGTTTTGCTTTTACATTTACTTGTGTGTGTGAACAGCAATGGCCTGTGTGTGGAGGTCAGGGGACAACTTGTGTGAATCTGTTCTCTCCTTCCACTATGTGGGGCCTAGGGATCAAACTCAGGTCATCAGGCGTGGCAGCAAGTCCCTTTACCCGTAGAGCCATCTTGCCAGCCCCTACCCATGATTCCTATCTGGACAGGGCAAAAGGACCTCCCAGACCAGCAGGTCACTCACGGAGGGCTTGTCTTCTTGCATCAGACAGTAGGAGTCATCACCTACAGAGCCTACAGCCTGCCAACTTCAAAGCTATGAGTTCCTACATCCACACCTGCCCTTCCTCCGGAGCTGCCGTGACTCTGTTCCTACATCCATACCTGCCCTTCCTCTGGAGCTGCCCTAACTCTGTTTGCACTGGAGTCCACGGCACTTCCCTCTAGGGACTGTCCTCTCTCCAGCACCTTAGTCTGTCTGGGCTCTCCTGGTGCCCCATCTCCCAGTTAAAACTGAAAGGAAAACTCCCACTCTCTGAAGTGCCTCCACCTGCTGCAAGGGTTACATCAACATTTTCCTATCATCAAACACCTTCAAATGGTCCGTTGGTCCATTTAACAGATTGCTCACTTATGGACTGTTCACTTACTCTTTAATCTGCTGCAATCTTCCTTTGCCCACTTTCAAATCACTTGAAAGCATTAACAAAATAACCAGTATTTTAAAAATCATCTCCTTGCTAAATCTAATGGATACTGTCACTTATCTTTACTTCCATGCAGGAAGTAAACCTTACAGGCCATGCCCCTTGATGAAGAGTGGCAGCTTGGGACTATGGGCTCTCTGGGCTCCAGCCTGTCTCTCTTACCACGCCTCCAGAGGCCCTCCACATGGCTGCTCCTCAGTCCTTCAGACACTGGCATTCAGGACACGGTCTCGTCCCATCTTGGAGCACTGTAGAAGCCTGACCTACTGCAGTGACTGATCCCATGCTCACTGTAGGCCCCTCACCTCACTCCAGACTGGGCATGGCTCTGTATCTAGGCAACCTCCAGGACTACACCTGCATACCAAACCCTCCTGCTGTCCAAAATGGTAACCATTCACTGGCACCACCCAAACCAATGCCTTCCAATTGGTTACCACCTCTATCTTCCCATTGCTGGAGCCAGGCAGCTGGGAGCCACTCTCCTTCCTCTGTCTCTCCTCACTCTTGGGGCTCATCAGTCACAAGTCCCTGCAATTTACTATTCCCCTCAGCCCCTAAAAGCTCTCTAGTACAGGACAGTTACCTCTTCCTGAGGCCCAAGGAAATACTGTCTTCCTGTACCTGGTCTTTCTGCCTCTAGACTTGACCTCCCGGCCCCTCCTTCCCATAGTAAGAGTGAAGTAGTCAATGGTGAATACGACTATCTTGCTCTCCTTGTTAAGATACTTCAAACGCTCTCCACTGGTTGGACTATGAGGCTGAAGTGGGTAACTTCAGTGTTTTAATCATGCAAGTCAGATGAGCCAATCTAAACGACAGGCCGAAAGCCAAAGACCCGGAGAGCAGTACATTCTTAAAAACAGTTTCCCAGTCCTAAATCCTCACTAAAGAAATATTACTAGATGTATTTCAGGAAGAAGACAATGGGGTCAGCAAGATGGCTCAATAGGGAAAGCACTTGGTGAACAACCCTGACAACCTGAGTTCAATCCCCATAACCCATGTAAAAGTATTAGAGAACCAACTCCACAAAGTTGTCCTCTGACCTGCACACCCCACCCCCAGCATCCTCCCCCAACAATAATAAACTTAAAAGATTTTAAAGAAATAAAAGAAGACAAATGAATCCACAAAGGAAAGGCAGGAGGAACGGGCAAGAAAAAATATAGGTGAAGACAGAGATGGTGACTTCATAGAAATAGTGTGTCAGTGACTCAAGAAGCAGAAAACATAAGGCATGACTAAAGTAAGTGAGAGGCACGTGGCCAGGACAGGGCGAGGGAGCAGCAGGTAAAGAGATGTTCCGGCCATCTTGTGGATGGCCCACATCTAAAACTGCTTCAGGCCGGAGTGACAGATGACATTCAGTTTTGAACACAACATACCAACTGAGTGTGTGGAAGTGAACAGCTGACCTGCATAGCAGGCTCCCATGTTGATGCTGAATATACACTGTGCCTCCTGGACATACTCACTGCCAGGTCAGCTAGCCCTAAGCATGCATGCCCTAATCTCATCCTTCATCCCAGCCCTGATGTTTAAAATGTTCGTGTGCCTTTTCTAGTATGAGAATTTACTAGGAATTTCTATAACAACCAACTCACTTATCTGACCCCAAACCCTATAAATCAGTCCAGCAAACTCCACCATTCTGGTTGAGGAAAGGGCAAGGCTCAGAGAGGTGAAATACACTGCCTGAAGGCCCCTTATCTAGTAAGATACTGAGACAGTCAGCTGTCTCACCCCTCCCCTTGCTCCCTAGAGTGGGATGTCTGTGTGTCATGAGTTAGGGGCTAAGGGTACTGGTTCTTAGATCTGTGACTCATCAGTGGTAGAAGTTACATAAGCACTCTATACCTCAGTTTGCCCACATGTAAAAGACAGACGGTGACCAATAAGCAGCTGCCACAAAGAACTGTTATGAACACTAAATGGCTTCATATATCCAAAATGCTTGGCAGAGTGCCAAAAAAATATAATCTTTCAATAAAAATTAGCTGTTTAGTATTAACTACCTGTTGATAGAATCAGTTATGACTCTCAGTTAAAGTTGGCCAAATTAATCCAAATAAGCTAAAAGGTGAGCAGATGTAAACAGCCTTCAATCCAAAATCATAGCTATTGTAGTTATAGTTGCAAAATGTTCAAATGCCTCAAGCAACTCAGATAACCAAAGATTGGGGAACACCCGTAAAAGACATATAGGAATACACACAGCACAAATCCCCCTGGACCATGTGATCGGAACAGGGCTTTCTGACCAGGGCAGCCCTCACATTTGGGCTAAATGATGCTTCATCATGAGTGACTTCTGTGTACTGTAGAAAATGTATCCTGAGTTCTATCCAGTAGACACCAGCAGCACAGTCACCTCCCTTTTTCTCTTAGCTGTGACAAGCAAACCTGTCTTCTGATAGGACTGTCTCTAGATAAGAGACAAACCACCCTAATTAAGAACCACTGCTCTGGGCTGGAGAGATGGCTCAGCAGTTAAAAGAACAGGCTGCTCTTGCAGAGGACCCAGGTTTGGTTCCCAGCACCCACATGGTGACTAACAACCATCCACAACTCCAGTTCCAGGGGATCTGAGGCCCTCTTCTGGCCTCCTCAGGCATTGCACAACACAGGTGCACTTACATACATGTAGGTGAAACACTCAAACACATAAAAATAAATCAAAATAATAATGATTAAAAAGAACCACTGCTCCAGTCAAGTTACCTATAGGAACCCACAGAGGACCTTCTGTAAGCTGTAATACAATTCTGTAAGCTGTAATACAATAGCCTGGGGCAAGGATGGGGTGGGTAGGGGGGTGGGAGTGGAGATGGATTCCACAGGACCTTATACAAGTTACCTCTCCCCATGCATGCTGCGTGTAGGCTAGAAGGCAGGAAGCAGGAGGCCATCTCAGTCTGGGCTGATGGAAAGCAGCTACTGGGGAATCCGTGTGTGTACTTTAAAACACTCTGCTTCCAGAAGCCAAAGCACGAGATAGGCAGACCATTTACATGGAGCCTGCCTTCAAGCTGGCAGGCTTCAGCCTCAGCTAATATTCCCGGGGGGACAGGGCTGGCCCTCTTCCATCTTCAAGATGATTCAGGTTTCCTGGAGAACAAAATGAGCCTCTAACGCCTCATCTTTTCTCTCTGACAGATGGTTTCAGATGTATCAAAGTGCTAATCCTTACTGAGGCATGGGTCTCCAGGAAGAAGAGTTTGGCTTTCAGAATGATAGGACTCGAATGATTAAGAAGGAAAATTACTCCCAGGATTTTCACCATTGTCATGTGAGCAACCAGCTTAAAATGAAGGAAACCAGCAAAATCTGAAAAATGATTTGAGGAAAAAATTCTAAAACCCAGGTTAACAGTTTAGTTTTGAAATATTTTCACTCCAAGACATCTTAGAGAGTGGAAATGAAGTGTAATAAAAACATTTCAGCTCAAGATGACCTGGGCTCTCAGGCTGGGTAGATGGAGCTGGCTCTAGAAAAGAGGCCTGGGGAGTCTGTCCCTCACCACTTACAAGCTGTGGTGCAACTGGAGCAACTTGTGTATCTTCTCTGAGCTTCCTGCCCCATCTGTAAAATGGGTAACATCTACCTCAAGGGAAGGCTACGCAAATTCAATGATATGCCTGACATCTATTAAGGGTTCAGTGCTTGTTAATTATGTGCGAACTAGTGTTTAGTGTTGACCTACTACGTGCGGACTGCTTTCATACACACCACCACCTCTGGGGCTCAAAGGACTTTTACAAAGTTCTGTCACTGATCATGGAGGCGGGAATGCTGAAGGTCAGGGAGGTGAAGCCAGGTGGCCGAGGTCAGAGAGCTACACGGGGCGAGCCTGGAACCCGGACCGGCCTCACTCCTGGGTCCAGCTCCTTCCAAGGCAGGGTGAAGGGTGCAGGGGAATGGGGCCAGCCACCGCGCGGGGTCAGAGGTCACTCACGGTATTCCTCCAGCCTCATTAGGGGCCGGAAGTAGATGGGGTAGAAGGCGGCGCCGACGAGGGAGACGAAGCCGCCGAATATGAGAGCGGTGCGCAGGTTCCGGACCGCGACCATGGTCCGGCCGGAGCTGCGGGAACCGCGAACGCCAGGTACGCTCGGAAGCCTCGGTCGTGGCCGCAAGGACTTGACCCCGCTCGGAAGAGGCGGAACGGCTTTCGCTTCCGGCCCCGAGTGTCGGGCGGGGCCTGGGGCGGAGCGGGATGGGTCCGGGGCGGGTTCTGAGTGGGGCGGGGTCTGGGGCGGGACGAGCGGGAACTGGGCGTGGTCTAGAGCCCTCTCTGCCTTGGGACCCAGGTGGCCAGCACTAGCGCAGCTTTGGCCGCGCTCCCCCCCGGGGGGGTGGCCCTTTCTATCCCCTTCCTTTCCCTGAGCCTGGGTCGTCCCTCCTCATCATCCACCATTCTCTCAAGCCTTATTTACCCTCCGTTACCAACCACGCGCTGGGCCTCCCTGAAGGCAGTTTGTGGAGATGAGTGACAAAGGGACAGATCCCCTGGGCCAAGATGACTTGCAAGCAAGACTAGCCTGGGAGGAACGCTTGAACATCCAAGCTGAGTGTATCTTTTCTAACTCGGATTTCCATCCCCTCCTCTCTCCTTGTGTCTCAATGCTAGGATGTGAGAGTTGCCAAAGAGGCTGGAAAGTAGGGATCCTGGAAGGGCCCAGGGCCAGGTCCCACCGATGGGACCCTAGGACTCATTGCCTGGGGCAGGATCTTTGAAGACAGACACTTGCTCCCTCTTCCCAAGATCCCCTTTCTCTATCTCTGCACCTGTCCCCTTGTCAGACTATCATCCTAGGGTACTGGGCAGCTGACAGCAACATTCCTTGGGCCTTCACTCAACCTTTTATAAATGGAAATGACACCAGCAGCTGGGGCTGGGGCACAAGAGGATATTTATCTTGACCTCCACAGAATTATTTAGTCCAGAGAAGATCTACAATCTCTACAAAATGGTGTGGTGAACACAGGTTTCCTCTTTGTAGTTTTGTAGCTGAATCAAGATTCTGTCTTCCTCTGGCTCTAGCAGCATATAAATCAGTAGTTCAATGTGTCAGCAGATTTATGGACTATCTTGTTATGCCCCCAGATATCAGCCAAAGTGCTAAGGGGGACACAAGATGAATAAGACATGACCCCTGCTCCAGGATCCTGCCACAGAACAAATACATGAAAAGATAAGTAATCCCCTAAGCAGCGGGTTACCAATGAGTGATATGGTCATGTGAGCCACAGAAGTCCAAAAAGAAAGACAGATGACTGTGTGTCGAGGTGGCTGCCCCTCAGACTCCCAGGAACTTGTTGGAAAAAGAAACAAGACTTCATAGCAAACAGGGAACTATGATAAATACATACACGATGGACGGTAGCTAGGTGTAATGTCTATTTATGATTTTAGCCGAGGGTCCACCTCTGTTTTTTCTGCTCATACCCTAGATGTCTTTGGGGAAAACACTCCTCATCCACTCTGAATAGATAAGTGGGGTTTCCTGCCCTCACCTTACCTCTTATGAACTCTGACAGTTAAACACATCACTAAGCTGACCAAGGTTCATCAATCATGGGTTGGAATGTATCCATCTGACCATGTGACTCAAGTTGGACCAATCATACCAGGCTCAGGTCTATTGGAAAACTGGACTTGAACTTGAAGGAATGAGACACTGGAGCTATGGGGAGGTGGGGGGGGGGGTTAAGAATGACATCAGTACTGCAGGAGAGGTGAAGGATTGAGATGTTGCATTTGAGCCAGTTGTCCCTGAAACACCTGTCCTTGAACTGCTGGTATGAGCCAATAAAGTCCCTCATTTACTGAAGCCAGTGTGCGTGCATGCGTGCGTGTGTGTTTGGGTGGGTCTAGGTGCATATGGAAGTAAGAGAACAGCCTCAGGTATTATCCTCAGGGACACCATCTACCTCCTTTGAGTCAGGGTCTCTCATTGGCCAGGCTCACCAATTGACCTATGCTGGCTAGTCAGTGAACCCCAAGCATCCTTATGTCTCCATCTCATTTGGCTTCATTATGTATATCCTAGAGACCAAACTTGGGTCCTCATCTTGTGAGGCAAGCACTGGATTGACTGAGCTACCTCCCCAGCTCCTTGGAGTATATCCTTTACAGTAGGAGTCCCAGATGTAATGTTCATGCCTGTGAGTCTCCTTGCTTCACATTTTCTGAGCTGCAAAGTGCAGACCACCAGAGATCTGCATGGTGTCACGCATTGGCTGAGGGTTTATCTCTTGTGATTCCTCATTGAGCTGGAAGACAGCATGGCAAGATAGCCAGCCAAAGCCTACCCACAGGCCTCCACAAGCCAGCATGGAAGATGTTGGAAGAAGGGGCCATCCTGGTGAGGTACCAGGAGCCTTGTCCAAGTCAAGAACAGTGTGTCAGATGAGCCAAAGAGATGTAGCAAACAACTCCTGTCTTCTCTGTCTCCCTCTTGCTATGCTAAAGGTATTAGGTGTCCAGCAGACATGATTTCCCCACCTGTATGGTTAGTTTTAAATGTTAACTTGCCACAACCCAGAATCACCTGAAAAGAGCCTGAATGAGGAAGTGCCTAGATCAGATTGGCCTGTGAGCACGGTGTTGTCCCAATTGTTCATTGAGTAGGACGACAAAGCCCATTGTGGGCAGCACATTCCCTAGGTAGGGGTTCCTGAACTACATAGAACAGGAGAAGGCTAGGAGCAGCAGTGAGCAGGAAGCATGGTGAATTCACTGCTCTCTGCTCCTGACTGTGGATGTTACATGACTCTGCCCAAGTTCCTGCCTTGACTTCCCTGAAATGATGAACCGTCACCAGAAATTATAAGCTGAAATAAACCCTTTCTTCCCTACATTGCTTTATGTCAGGGTATTTGTCACAGTAACAGAAATGAAACTAGAACATACCCTATGGCGTGTTTGTAGATTATTAGCCTTATCATCCAGACAGTAGTTATCACCAAGGTCTACCAAATGCAAGCTCACCTCCTTGATCCCAAGATTCTCCCACCTCTGAGAAAACCTCACCCCCCAACCCAGGTTTTCTTCTCCCCACAGGTATTTTTTGTGTGTGTGCCTTCCTCCATGTAAAGCATCATGGTCCTTGACTGGGACTCAAAGTGGAATCATTGGTTTTCTTGAAGTCATCAATGATTTACCGAGCCAGTCCAGGACACTTTAGGTGCAGGTGGTGCAGCTGTGAATGAAATAGTAGAGACTATTGTCCTTGTGGTTGTTCTCAGCCTGATGAGGGACAAGATGTGGCAGTGCAGAGCTATTGCTTCCAGGCAGCTCAGCTTTCCTTCATAAGAGCTCCTGATGTCTTTTACAGAATGACCTCTCATTTAACACTCTTGGTCAGACCATAAATTCAGCAGCTTGTGCACCCCTGAGAAGGGCAGGGTTGACATCAAGCTTCATAGGACAATTGTCCTGTGCAGTCACTGTGGCAAGGTACTCATTTGGTACTCACTATGCCTGAGTGGGTGGTTACACTTCAGAGGTTGGAGTTGAGGCTCAGTGAGGATGACTGTGCTAGGTACTTTTCTTGTTGCTGTGACAAAATGCCCGACAAGAGCATCTTAAGGACGGGATGGTTTCTTTTGGTTCATGGTTTGAGGATGCAGTCCATCCTGGTGGGGAGGTGTGGTGGCAAGGTCAGCTTTAACTGTTGTGAAAAGAGAATGAGAAGGCTGGTCACATCACATCTACGCTCGGGAAGCAGAGAGAGATAAGTGCTGGTACTCAGCTCAATGTTTTTTTTGTTTTTTTTTTTTTTTTTAAATTCAGTCTGCCCCCCCACCCCGACTCCCCCACCCCCACAGATAGGATGATGCTGCCCACGTTAAACCTCTCTGGAAACTTCACAGACACGCCTAGAGGTGTGTTTCCTAGGTGATTCTAAGTTCATTCAAGTTGTCAGAGAAGATTAACCACCCCATTTGCCCAAGATCACATGACCAGTAAGTTGCAGAGCAAAGATTCAGCCCCCCCCAACCAAGCCCCCATTACCTGCTTCCTGAGACCAGCCCTTGCCTGCTGAGCTAAATCAACTGGCAAAATTCTGGCTTGTGCTCCCCGATGTGGCTATGTCCCAGCCTAGCCCAGTCATTTCTCTCTCTTCCAGAAATGAGTTACAAAGATGGATGGCATTGTTACTGTGGATTTCTTCCATGGTGGTGTACTGGTGAGCTTGCCTGTAATCCTGGAGTCCCCCTAGTAGTTCCCCCTGCAGGCTCATTCTGGAGGGATCTTTATAGTCTGCAGGTCAGCCCATGTGTTTCCAGTAAACTCTATTTGAACATCAGCTCACCAGAGTCATTTCAGTTCATGCCACCAGAAGCCCTAACAAACAGAAATCAACACATTGCCTCCAACACGCGGCATAATGAAGGGGACTCTGAAGCTGTGCTAATGTTTGGGAAAGCCAAAAGAAGTTGGGGTGGGAGGGAAGGTATCTGTGCAAAGAGAGTCTGAAACAGGATGCAAGCCAAATATTTCAGGAACCCTAGGGTGCATATTTTCATCTCAATCACTAAGAAAAAAATTGGCTTGCGCTCCTGGCCAGCACTTTTTCCTTGTTCCTTTGCATGTGGAGATTGAATGCTTGCGGGGAGCAGACCCAGTGGTGTCTCGCACGGGTGCAGACAGACATCAAAGTTAATCCGCTTTCTGATCTAAGCAAAATGGTGATGAGGGTTTCCTGGGACAGCAGCACCACTAATTGTGGCACTGCAGCCCAGTGGATTTATTTTTAGAATACTATGAATTCTCAGGAAGTGCTGTGACCGGCTGTGGGAGGGCAGCTAGACACTCTGGGGTCTGGAACAGAGTGGCCTCCTGCAGGCTCCACTGGGCCAGTGATGCTGAGGACAGAAGCCAAAGCAGGGGGAGGCTCCCATTTTGATGGGGTGCTAGGGCTCTGACTACCACACTACCTTTGATAATTTCTCTTAGATCTTTTGACTTTTTCTTCTTTTACCTGCCCTTTCCACAGAAGAGATCTCCCCAGATGTCTGCCTTGGCTTATCTCCTGTTGTGCTATACAACCACCCTGTTTTAACTCACATCTGTGCCTTCCAAGGCATGCAGGCTACATTTTCTACTGAATTTCAGGGTTGTGTGCCTGATAGAAAGTGCCAGGTTTAAGACTACATCTACCCCCTCATCACCATCACTAACCCTG